GGCAGATCAGCCCAGAGAAGGCACAAACATCAGCACTCACCTTTTTTGCAATGCAACACATCTGCTCGGCAGGGAGATAGTCGAAGGGGAAGATGAATCTCCAGTTGAAGTTGCCTTCTCCTCCCATCGACCTGTAGTGCACGTCTGTCTTCTGCTTGTTCTCCTCGTGGCCAACCAGCCAGCTGCAAAATGCAAACACAGGGCTTGATGTGGTGGGATCCCTGTCCCAGGAGGGGTCCCAGAACCACGGAGATGTGGCATTTGGGGCCGTGGTGGAGTGGGCCGGGGTTGGACATGGAGGATCCTGGAGGTGTTTTCCACCCTTAGCTTCTAATCTGCATTGGTGAGAGCTCCTTTGCTCTTTGCAGCCACCCAACACGCTAACACCAGTCCTCTTGATGAAGGCAACACAACGAAGAAGCAAAGGCCCATTTTTTTCCTCTGTTTTCTATCAGCTTCTTGGGACTTTCTGGAGATCCCAAATGACCAAGAAGCCCCACAAAACCCTCACAGGAGTTGGACTCGATGATCCCTATGGGCCCATTCCAACCTGGGATATCCTATGATCATATGAACTCACCCTGCTGTGCCAGGGTGCTCCCAACAGCCCAGTTCCACCCCCCCTAGTCTTCAACTTATCCAGGGTCAAACGGAAAGCATTCCACCACCCAGCAGTGAGTTTTGCAAGTGTGAGGTTCTCATTCTGCCCTCCTTCCTCCTCCAAGAGTTCCCAGTCTTCATCAATCAACAAAAATACAAAACAAGACAACACATCCACTCACGGGATTCTCCCACTGAGCTCAGCGCACTTCACAGAACCATTAAGGTTGGAAAACACCACTAAAATCATCTACTCCAACCATCCACCCACCCCTACTGTGCCCCTAAATGCCACATCTGCTCTTTACTTCACTTCTAAGCTCTTGGCGGACCAAGGCCATCCCATTACTCGGGAAGACAATGTTTAAAGATGCCAAATGATATCAGACAAATCACTGTCGTGGGGGTTGGCTGAAAGAGGGCTCTGGAGGCTTCTACCCAACCTGCTCCAAGCTTTTGTCTCCCAACACCTTGAAACATCCCAGGAGGATGAGTGAGAGCCTCCCACCTCCCACATAAGCCTTCAGCTCCATCCACTTGGTGAAGAAAAGCTCTATTGGAGACTGGGCTGCGAAAGCAATACAAAAATATCCCCCACCTACAACAGCAACCATGGCTGAGATCTTTTCAGACTACCAAGAAACAACATCTTCACTTCATTAAAACAAAGGGCAGGGGGCTTCTTGCACAACACCAAAGCACTTATTCCATTTCCCTCCCTAACTGGCAAGCAACAACCTACATATCATCATAGAATCATAAAGGATGGAAAGGACCTCCAAGATCAAGTCCAACCACCAACCCATGACCATCATGCCCAACCATACAGCCATAGCATCATTAGGGTTGGAGCAGACCTCCAGGATCACCAACCCACAGCCACCATGCCCAACCACACAGCCACAGCATCATTAGGGTTGGAGGAAACCTCCAGGATCACCAACCCCACAGCCACCATGCCCACTCAGACAACCACAGCATCATCAGGCTTCAAAAAGACTTCTGAGATCCCCCAGCCCAGATCCCAACCATCCCTCCATGCCCAACAGCCACGTCCCCAAGTGCTGCAGCTGAACACAGAGGCTGTACCCAGTAAAGGGAACGCTGGGGAAAGACTTCAGGAAGCCAAGCAAGATCTTTTCACTCATTTACAGCACAGTAAGAGCAGATGGGTCAGCAGGGGTGAGGGATCCCAGCAGGCACCGCTCTTGCCTTGCCATGACCCTCCCCAAGAGCTCCCAAGCCCCGAGGTGCACGGGGAGCGTGGCTGGAGCTGATAACAACACGCTTGATGTGAATTCCAGGTAAGCAGCTCGCATTCTGGGTTCACGAGAGGAAAATTAGGATTGTAAAAAGGGGATTTGCAGTCTGTTTCAAAATCCTACCTCTTCCTGTGCATAAATCCAAAGAATGCGCAAAATAAGTAAAGCCCCTTGGCTGGGGCTGCACCGTTTCACACGAGATAAAACATAAATGGAGCCAGGCAGAGAAGGGAATGAGCCAAAGGAGTTCCTGCTGGTTGCCACATTTTTGTGTGTTTCAAGGTAAAAAAAAAAAAAACGGGGAATTCCAAAAAACCAAAATAAAACAGCTCTGCAATGAAGCAAGTATGTGGAACATCCCCAGGGCTGTCCCAGGAGGGGAATGGGCAGATCTGAGCCCTGACAGCAAGGCTGCTTCCCCAAATCTCAGCCTTCCATGCACAACCATCGTGAGCACCCAACTGTTGGAGGAGCCCCTTCATCCCACGGGGCTGCACTGCACGGCTGTGTCAACCCCTTTGAAGCTGCCACATTGCCATGTGCCATATTTCAGCTTCGAGGCCAAGGTGCCCAGAAGACACAGCAGTGAGGAGGCTCACCCTTTGACGTAGATGTCACTCATCTTCTCCCCGGTGATGCTGAGGTCATCGAGGATGACATCCTTGGTGTTCCAGATGATGCAGCGCAAGTAGAACCTGGGATTGAAATGAGACAGGTGGGAACCTCAATTTAAAGCCCTCCCAACGGCCTGGCTGGGCTACTCAGCTGCTTAACCTGACATCTCCAATTCCCTCCTCTTCCATCACAAGGAGAAGGTGCAGGAGCCACCACCACACTGATAAAGAACAAGAAGCCAACGCTGCACCGATGGACCAAACCAACTGGGAATGGAAGACTGCTCACCTCTTGGCTTTGCGTGGTGTGATGTTGAAAGGGGGGCCAGGCTGACCCAAGGATTTTGGAAACAGGTCCACCCACATCTGTAGCTTTCCCTGGAAAGAAAAGAGGTGAAGCGTGATGGGCCTCCTGGCTGGGTGAGCTTCAGTCCTTGGTAGGACGGAGCAGTGGGTGCAGGAAATACCACGTGCTCCCTGGTTTCCTCACTGAAACTACAGGTTCCCTACCAGAAAAGCATCATTGAGCGCTGCATGAGGATTATTTCAGTGACCCTTGGGCATGTATTAACGGCCTGAGCTGCATCAGAGGTCATTCTGGACTAGTGAAGCTGCGCTCTAGGTTTGCTCTCCAAGGCTGAAGATGTCTACAAAGAGCTGACTGAAGGGAGGTGTGAGTAGGGAGCACAAGCAGCTCGCTGAACAGCTGCTCTATGGGTTTCTGACCATTGGATGGAGGATGGAATGAGGGGGACAGGACCCCACTCTGCCTTCACACTGCCCTTCCAGGGAGGGAGCAGCACAAACACAGACGAAGCCTCAACAGAATTGAGACACGGAGGAAACACCCTCAACCAAAAGGTGGACAGCTGGATCATCTGGTCCTTGATGGTTTGGTCTCAGAAGTCTCCTCCAACCTTAACGATTCTCTGACTGTACAAGTGGGCACAGCAGGGATGGGTTGATGGCAGGCTTAGAGGTCTTTCCCAACCTTAACGATCTGTGATTGCATCAGTGGGCACACTAACTGGACTCGATCGTCTTAGAGCTCGTTCACAACCTTAACGATGCTGTGAGCAGGCGTGGTGGCCAGATGGGTTGATGGTTGGACGTCCAACCTTCACGATTCTGTCATTCAGTGATCCTTTGTCCCCACGGCTGCCCCCAATGTGACAACAGCACGTGGCAGCTGTGAGCTGCAATGTGACTCAATGGCCAGCTGACAGCAGGCACCTCCTGCCTCTAATCACGAATTCCAGGGGGTGAATTAAGGTGGAAAAACGTTAGAGCAGTTGCCGGGGCATTTATGGCTGCTGGCAGCTTCCCTCTCCCATGCTGGCCTGGTTAAAAATGAACCAAAAGAGGCGGTTCTGCAGAACTGGCTGCATCAACCAGTAAGAGAGATGAGGACAAATGGCTTTGCTCCCTGGGAAGAAGCATTTTTTGATCCAAATGCAAAAAGTGCACGTGCATGTTAGTGAAAGGGGCTAGGCTACGTACAGATACCTGACTTGTGACTGGTTTTGGATAGAAGCCCACGTGGCTTTTTTCTGGCTAAAAACAGCCACTCTGCAATGGCACTGAGACGTTACACCTCCGGCGCCTCCTTCCCACTGCACTGCCGAAGGAGCCTGCAGGATCCTTACCATTTTAGAGCAACTTCACGCTGCCCCAGCACTGGCTTAAGAAGCAGAGGATGCTCCCAGCCACGTCCCAGCCCACAGCACTGCTTACCTGCTCGATCTCTGGCTGCAGGGGGCTGTAGAGGGGCCGGGTCTCCACGTGCTCTGGCACCAGTCCTTGTTTCCGCAGTGCGTGCAGGGCCAGCCGCTCCTCTGCTGGCCCCAGGTGAGGGTTGTGGGGTTTGCCATCCTCTGCCAAATGCAAAGCAAGAGCAGTGTTATGAGCAAGCAGCACTATCCCTCTCTTGCAAACACTGCAAGGACCGCGTTGAAGCAAAAAGATCTGGGGTTTGGTTCCGCTTGCGGTGCCTCCAAGGGTTCAACCAGCCCACAATCACAGCAGCTGGGGTTACACCACGGCCCCCACAGCCATAACCCCATGTACCCACCCCACCTCCATCCCTCTGTTTCCTTTCCTCCTCACAACTCCCAGTCCAACCCACATTGCTGCCATCACCAGCAGACGTTGTCCAGTGCGTGCTTGAAGCCCTCAAGAGACAGGGAAGGCTAAGCTGCCTTCCTACAGCCGGGTAGGTTGGCTATCAGGAGGGATTTCTGCATGGATAGGGCACAGAAGCACTGTGCCCAGGGGGGTGGGGGAGTCCCCATCCCTGCAGGACGGGAGGATGTGGCACTTAAAGATGTGGTGCGGTGCGGATGTGCGGTGTGGGGTGATGGTTGGACTCAACGGATGATGGATGGATGGATGGATGGATGGATGGATGGATGGATGGATGGAT